GGGAAAGCAGCGACTTGGATCATTATATATCTGTTCCATCTCTCATCTTCCCACAATTTTAATTTATCTGATTGTGATGACACAATTTCCCCACATTACTCATGGTTCAGTGGCCATGAAGCTATTCCTTTATTCATAAGTCTAATGTAGCCAGACAGCCCGGGAGGAGAGCACACAAGTGATTATCTGTATGCAAAGAACAACGTCTCAAGTATTGGTAGGTTCTATTTTGTTATCTTCTACTAATACCTGTTAACATCTTGTTCTGGCATTCCCCATAGTTCAAAATTTTCATTCAATGCTGTTCAATCAGAAGGGTTTCTGTCTCTCACTCCTGTGTGTAGCCTAAACATTTCCGGCCTCTAGGACCAGCCATGTTAGTCCTACTTTACACAGATCATCTTCCTCAAGCCATCTCAACTTGTCATTTATGGCAAAGGTCCAACCAGGTTGTTAGCATGATTAATATCAGAGAAACAGATGGACATAAATATAGAGAGTCCAGCATCCATGTACGTGTACCAAATGTGCTGTGGAGGGCATGATTTCCAGCAGAGAACAACTAAGACGCTGCCTTCCCTAAGATCACATCACCCAAGGATAACCACATCTGCTTCTGATCCAGCCAGGCCTGGGTAGAACTTATTCTGGGTCAACTTGGAGCATATAAACATCCCAAAATGGAATTAATGCAAGGGTTGCCCTCTCCCTCTACCATGTCTTTATGCCACAGAGCAGCCTCTGCTTAGGAGCACTTTATAGATTATACATTTGCTTACATGTACACCAGCAATATGCTGGAACCAGCTCACACTGACTAGCCAGAGCTGATTATGAAATGTTTGGTGTGAGCATTTACACCTCAGAAATTGGCAAATGGGATTAATTTATTACTTTGTTGATTTTCTAGGCTTAAGGAAGCCAGGGGGAAAATGTTGATAACACAAATTCAACTTAAAAGTATGTCATGTGTATTTACCAGCATGTCACTGACATGCCCTATCTCAGAGAATGCTTATTAGAACCCTTTGAGGGAGGTAGCATAACAATCATTATTCCCACTTTACAGATGAGAAAACCAAGGCCCGCGAAGATGAAGTGACTTGCCCACTAGTAAATGGTAGAGACTTTTGATTCTGATTCCAGTCCTCTTTCCACTACAGTAGGATGCATTTCACAAAAAAGGATGTGAAATTTCCATCATCTGGACATGCTTTCTTAGTGTTCATTCTCATTCATTTTGTCAGGTGACATTTTACAATCTAGCAACGGAATCAATGAGTGATTCAATTATACAAAACAAAAGATGAAACGGGAGAACTTTCTGACAGTGAAGGAATGGGCAGCAAAGGGTACAGGGGTGGAGGGGATAGTAATAGCTGGATGAACAACTATGCTTTGAAACCTGAACATACACTTCTCCTTCTCACATTCTCATATATACATATGCGTGTGTTTATATTTTAAATACAGACTTGTAGTTTTATCAGTGGAGGGACCTCCCTCCACCTAATTGCTAATTTATACTTGTAAACAGTTGCCTAGGGCTCTGAGAGGTTACTTGACTTGCCCAAGGTCACAAAGCCAAGACAGGTCATAGGGGAGGACTTGAACCCAGGGCTTCCTGACTCAAAGGCTAACCCTCTATCCACTACAGCATGTTGTCTCCCATGAGTGTGCTTGCGTACACATGATCTGTAGATGATAGATAGATGGATAAATAAATAGGTAGATAGGTACATAAACAGATAGATTGAAAGATAGGTACATAGATGGATAGATGATGTGTGGATAGGTAGACAGACAGATGATAGGTAGATGGACAGATAGAGATGTTAGAGATGATCTGGATAGATAGATGATAGATAGGTGGATGGATAGGTAGATAGATGGTAGATGGATAGGTAGACAGATAATTAGAGACAGAGAGCTTTCCAGCCTCTTAGAGCCTGACTGTCCCCATCTACGAAATATGAAGATCACAGCTTTGAAGCTGGAAGGATCTCCAGAAGTCTCCTACTCTACCCCTTTCATTTTATAGACAAGGAAACAAGGCCCAGCTTGGTTAAATGACTTGCCCAAGGTCACAGAGGCCAAGCGCTTGAGGCTCTAACTCCTGCAGTGGGGCTATCTGCCCTAACCTAGCATTCCCAACAAATACTTGAATACACTTCCCTTCCCCTCCCCACCCCAACTTCTTCCTCTAGGAACAATAATCAAATCAGCACTGCTATTCAACTGCCTGATGACCACACTCACCATCTCTATGACTTCCCCTAGCCAATACACACTCCCCTGGCCACTACTTTTATATAGGGAAAGCCAGGTTTTGGGGAGCATGCCTTAACATAGAGGTGCCTTTGGGACCTTTGGAGTACATCTGTATTGCCTAACATAGAGGCACATGGATGAATGTAGCCTCCTTTGACTGGCCGTGTAACAGAACAGGCTAACGCTTTAAAGCTCACCCGACTGAGCCTGTCACTCAGTTCCACACTTGCTGTCTCCCAATCTTTCTTCACCTCATCCAGAGGGTTCAGATCCCTGTTCACTCACGGCACAGATTCCATAAACTGAACTCATGAGAGAGGAAGGACTTGTTTCCTCTTTTAGTCCAGCTCAGAGAAATGGGCCTGCAGGCACATGTTTCTGTTCTGTGTTGTTTGTCTTCCTCAACTTCAGGCAATGGCAGCACTCGCCATTGGACTGGCAAGTTCCAGCCATGATGACCTTGGAGCCAGGACTGCAGCCAGACCACCTGGCATGGAGGCCCTGAGAAACCAGGGCACCTGGGCCTCAAACCCAGGCCAAGGTTTGGACTTGGAACCAGGACTGTTCTCTAGCTAAGCCGTGAATCTATCCCTATCCAAAGATTAAGGTGGTGCAAAGGGAGGGGTGGGGAAAGGAATTATGCCTCCTATGTGTTGGGAGAGTATTTTTATATTTGTGATTATACCTTTTGAAGGAAATATTTCCGTGTAAAAGCTAATCTAACCGTTAGTAGCTAAATGGAACAGAGGTGCAAGAAGCCACTCCCTACAAATGAAGGAACAATACTAATGAAGGCTGGAGTCATTTGCAAAGAGTCTGGATACCCTTCAATTCCCTTAAAGGTACCAGATAATCCTGGGGGGTGGGATACAATCTAATATACCTGGCCACAAGCAATAGGTTTCAGGGTGGCTAATGATACATATGTATTGTATTCTCTTATTAGAATGTAAGTCCCTTAATGGAGGGGATGCCCATCAATTGGGGAATGATTGAACAAATTTCGGTATATGATTGTGATGGAATATTATTGTGCTATAAGAAATGATGAGCAGGATGCTTTCAGAAAAACCTGGAAAGACTTATATGAACTGAGGCAAAGTGAAGTAAGCAGAACCAGAAGAACACTGTACATAGCAACATCAATATTATAACAATGATCATCTATGAAAGACTCAGACCCTCCGATCAAGACGGTGATCCAAGACAATTACAAAGGATTCATTATAAAAAATGCTATCCACCTCCAGAGAGAAAAGAGATGATCTCTGACTGCAGATTGAAACACACTTTTCTTACTTCATTTTTCTTGGGTTTTTTTTTTGGGGGGGGGAGTGAATGTTTCATTTTTAAAATTAGTTTATTTATTTGTTTTTAGTTTTCAACATTCATTTCCATAAGATTTTGAGTTCTAAATTTTCTCTTCCTCCCTCTCCTTCCCCCTCCCCAAGATAGCATGCAATCTGATATAGGCTCTACATATATATTCATATTAAACATATTTGCACATTAGTCATGTTGTAAAGAAGGATTAGAACCAATGAGAAGAACCACGAGAAAGAAGAAATATAACAAAAAAAGAGCAAATAGTATGCTTTGGTCTGCATTCAGAGTCAATAGTTCTTTTTCTGGATGTGGATAGCGTTTTCCATCATGAGTCTTTTGGAGTTGTCTTAGATCCTTGCATTGCTGAGAAGAGTTAAGTCTATCATAGTTGATCATCATCGCACAATGTTGCTGTTACTGTGTACAATGTTCTCCTGGTTCTGCTCACTTCACTCAGCATCAGTCCATACAAGTCTTTCCAGGTTTTTCTGAAGTCTGCCTGCTCATCATTTCTTATGGAACAATAGTATTCCATTACATTCATTTACCACAACTTGTTCAGCCATTCCCCAATTGATGGGCCTCCCTTCAATTTCCAATTTTTGGCCACCACACAAAGAGCTGCTATAAATATTTTTGTACATGTGGGTCCTTTTCCCATTTTTTATGATCTGTTTGGGATACAGACCTAGGAGTGGTATTACTGGATCAAAGGGCATGCAGAGTTTTATAGCCCTTTGGGCATAGTTCCAAATTGCTCTCCAGAATGGTTGGATCAGTTCACGTTGTTGAATGTTCTCTTTTGAAATACAGCTAATATGGGGTTGGGGTGGGGGGGAGGAAGAATGTAAGTTCCTTGAGGACAGGCACTGTCTTGTTTTTTATTTTTATATCTCTCCAGTGTTTAATAAATGCTGTTTTATTCATTTATTTCATTTTATCCATTCATTCATATAAGAAGTAGTAGAGTTGGAAGTCAAGCCCAGATTCTCTGAATCCAAATCCAGTGCTCTTTCCATTTTATCATGAGAATGAATTTTATATCCTTTTTTTTTTGTATTTAGTATTTTATTTTTCACAATTATGTGTAAAAACAATTTTTAACATTCATTTAAAGTTTTTGAATTCCAAATTCTCTCCCTCCCTCTCTCCCCATCCCCCCCCCAATTGAGAAGGCAAGCAATTTGATATAGGTTATACATGTGTAGTCATGTAAAACATACTTCCATATTAGTCATATTATAAAAGAAAACAGATTTAAAAAAAAACAAAGAAAAATAAAGGAAGTTAAAAAAAAGGTATGCTTCGATTTGTACTCAGACACCATGAGTTCTTTCTCTGGGGATGGATAACATTTTTCTTCATAGGTCCTTCAGAGTTGTCTTGGATCATTGTATTGCTGAGAATAGCTAAGTCATTCACAGTTGATCATCTTACAATATTGCTGTTACTGTGTACAATGTTCTCCTGGTTCTACTAATTTCATTTTGCATAAAACTTTGTAATCCTCAAAGCATTATACAAATGTGAGTTATTATTATGACTTCTTAAAAACCAAAGGAACCAACCATGAGCAAGTTTCTCCTTTTGATGCCAAAAGGCCCTGAAGCAGAGATCTGAAACAGAAATAACACCATACTTATTCACCAGAAGACATAATAAAAAGAAAGATGTTTAGTAGCACTGACACACTGTGTAAGTAGCAAAGAAAGCTAAAATTCTGGTTTTGTGTCTGGTTTATTACGGCACTGACAATTTCACCCACAAAAGCATCCATCAGAGACATTTGTGCCACGTGGCAATGCATGGCTGCACAAGTCTGGGAGATGCACATATATTAGGAGGCCAAAGGCACCACCACCACCACCACCAAGACTGGCCAGCTGAAGAACATGTACCACTGAACAAAGTGAAACCAAGGAGACTTAAGTTGTTTCAATCATGTTTGATTCTTTGTGACCCCATTGGGCATTGTCTTGGCAAAGAGACTGGAGTGGTTTGCCATTTCCTTCTCCAGCTCATTTTACAGAGAGGAAACTGAGGCAGACAGGGTGAAGTGACTTGCCCAGGGTCACACAGTTAGTAAGTGTCTGAGGCTGGATCTGAACTCATGAAAATGAGTCTTCCTGGTGCCAAGCCCACTGCACAACCTAGTTGCCCTAAGGGCACTGAGGAGAGTGCTTGTTATTTTGTGTGCTGAGAGGAGTACAGTATTTCACTTCTGAGTAGACCTTGAAGGTAGGAAGGATCACCCTACTCACCTGGACTGCGCTTGTCCTAGTACTAGTCCATTGCTCAACCACTGTCAATTAGACTCTCACCAACTTAATATGTTCATCTTCAACAACATTATAATTATCCGGAATGATTTGAATGTGATATCACCTAAATGAGTGGAACTGACTGGGTAATTTGGAAGTAGAGAGATGAGAGGAACCTCAGTGAAGTCTCACAACCCCCTCATTTTATAGATGAGGAAAGGGAGGCCCCAAGAAGTGAAATGATACTCCCAAGGTTAGAAAACAAGTTAATGGCAGAGCTAGTATTCCAACCCATTTCTCTTAATATCCAGACCATTGCTTTGGCCATTATACCACTCATCTCTCTTCTTAAGGGCTATTTTAAGCCTATGATTTCCTGATTGATTTTTTTTTCCATCCAAATTATTTAATTTCTAGCATTTGAAGTAGATTTCTCCTGCTATGCACATTGGAATTCCTATAGATCATTCCCCAATCTCTCTTCTTTCTGGTTATATCTCTGAAGAAAGGGGCTCTTCCTGCCAAAGCCAATTCCTCTGCTTGTGCCTTTGACCCCATCTCTTCCTGTCTCCTCCAGAATTTTGCCCTATCCAGCAAATCTCTCCCTGTCTCTGTCTCTCTCTCTCATTTTGTTTGTCTCCATCTGTCTGTCTCTCTCAATTTACAATTACTGACTCCTCCTCCACAGCCTATAAACAGAATCTCAAAGTTGTAAGAGACCCTAGAAGCCTCCAATTCTAACCCACACCTGAATATGAACTCAACAAGTAATCATCCAACCTTTGCTTGAAAAAAAAATCTGATCAGTTACCAAGCCATGTTGACTCTACCACTACAACTTCTCTCACACTGTCACCATTCTAGTTTTCATCATTTCTCACTTGGGACTATAATCATTTAATTGTTCCCTCTTCCTCTCTCACTTCTCCAATTCATCTTCCACGTAGCTGCCAAAATCATCTTCCTTAGGCACAGATCCGACCATGTCATTCTTTTGCCCCAAAATATTAGTAGCTCCCTATTGTCCCTATGATGAAATATAAAATCTTCAGCTTGGCATTTATGGCACCCCCATTTGGCTCTCCAATAGTTTTCTGAAGTTACTTCACATTAGTCCCCTTCACACACAATATTTCGAGTCCTGGATTTGGAATCAGAGGCCCTAAGTTTAAATCCCCATTCTTGCACTTCTTACTTGTATTATCTGAGCAGGTGTCTGGGCCTCACTCTCTTTCTGTGGAAAATGGTGGAGTTGGACTGGAATGAGCTCTAAGGTCCATTCCAGCTCGAAATTGATGATCCTATGTTTCTACCCCAGGAAAATGTAAGCTCCTTCAGGGAAGGAGCTGGGTTATTTTTATCTTTGCATTCCCAGCAGTGTGCACTGCACCTTGCATACAGTAGGTGCTTAATAAATGTTTGTTGAATGAAATTGCATAGGTATATTATGCCCAAGGATTAGATAAAATCCCACAAAAATCCGAAGTTGCTCTATCTTTCCACTCTTATCAAAAGCGTAAGAAATTCTTCTACATAAAAGGTCTGAGAAGCAAAATATTGAGTTTGCTGATGGAATTAATTATTGTAGGACACAAACATCAAAACAACAAGTAACAGGAAGGATGAATTTTACAACTTTCTAACACTGTTCCTGGGTAGCAGCAGGCTCCTTTCCAATGAGGGCACGAAGATTTCTAAAAACTAACTAATCCTTTGTGATTTTTCAGTAATGCTAACTAGAGTCATTGTTACTTAAAACTTATTAAAGACCTACTTTGTTTTTCTAAGGAAGAGGAATATCATTAGATATGAATTCTTTTTCCTTTTTGTTGCAGAGTGTAAACTGTGGCGATAATAAAAGAGAAGAAAACAAATGTATTTATTGAATGATGGAATGCAAATAAGTATTTTACACTTAATCTTTTTCTATGTCGTTCTTGAATTTGGTTAGGTAATTCTAATTGACTGGATGTTAGTTCAATAAAATGTAGGGAAAGTTTGCAATCAGGCCACACTGAATGTACAGTTTAATTATGTTGGTATGTGCTTCTATTTGTTTCTAATGCAGAAGATCCATTGGTAAAATGAATGCCCATTTTGTGGTCTGTTATGCAGAAAATGTTTAATCCAGTGTTTGATTTGCTCTGTTAAATCTTCTTTATTGAATGTGTTTATTCATCCGTGCAGAATTAGGTATGCTGCTTTCTGTTTCTATGACATTACAATTAAATAGCTAAAGAGAGAGACAGAGAAAAAAAAACACATAGCAGGACATTCTGCAAAGGTTTGTGACATTCTCACAAAAATCATTTATGTTGTCTTTTCTATTTTTACTTTTTGAAAGTCTATGGAAAGGTGCTTAGAAATATTTCTGCCTTGAAGACATTGACATATACAATAGAAAGTATGAATAATCATTTTTTTACTTAAGACACATTTCTGGTCTAGTGGCTAAATGATGGCTGCCAAGAAATTGAGCATTTTAGAATTGAAAGTAACAGGATCTCAGAGAATCAGAATTTTACACAACAAAATGTGTTAGAGCTGGAACAATATTTATGCCCTTTTGCAAAGGGAAAACTCTATCTCAGCTTTAAGGCTGTCTGAGAAGTATGTCTGCATTCAAGATTACTTGCTTTATTTGATTCCTCTAAAAAAAAATCTAATTTCTTCCATTGTGGGTTGTGTTCTTTTCACAAGAATTCTTGTGCCATTGAATTTTACCTCTACTAAGAGTATAAGGTTTGAGACGGAATCTGGTTCAAATTAGGCTTTTATCTACCAGTTGTAGTTTTATATTTAAAATGTTATTTTCTTGGTGAATCTGGAATTTGCAATAAGGTATTAACGAGATGTTTTCTGAATTGCTCTTCCTTATACTTTATGGTACTGAATTAACTACCATGTTGCTTTCTCCGTTGTCCTGTCCATTTGGAGGGCATGCTACAGTTTCCAAAATACTTTTTCCCACATTATCTCATTTGAGCCCTACAGCAACCCTGTGAGGGTAGGGCAGGACCAGTGTTATCATCATTTAACAGATGAGGAAACAGAGGCTCGGAGAGAATGAGTGACTTGGCCAGGGTCATACAACTAATGAGTGGGTGCCCGAGCCAAATGTTCTGATTGTGGCCCTTGCTCTTTCCACTACAGCATGTGACCTTTTTTCAGATCATAGGAGCAAAGAAATTCAACAGGCAAAATGGCACTACTCTTCGGTTTCTATGCCACTAGAGAGAGGTGAAATTGCTTGCTGAATAGAGATGATAGTCTTGGGTTCAGGAAGACCTGGATTCAAGTCCCATCTCTGATACGTCTTGGTAAGTCACTTTAGTTCTCAGATTTACCCTATAACACTGTAAGTCACAGATGAATTACTGATCTGTATCACTGGAGGAAGATTCCACACTGGGAGTTCCCCCCACACCAATGAAATTATAAGTATAGACCAAAGTACTAGAATATCTACAACTTATGGGTTGGTGGGTTGAACATAGTACTAAATTGGCACCATGGTAACGAATTCAGTCCGTGTATTGGCCAAGTTAGCTCTGTGACTATGGGTTTGTGGACTGCACCACTACCCTTAGCCAGTAATCTCACAAATGTGAGCTCCTGGTCATAGAAGAGAGTGGGCAGGAGAGAGGAAGGGAAACATCAGAGCAAATCCATGATGATTACCACAGGAAAAACCCAGCATCTATGGTCCACTGGTGGTAGGTCAATAATGATATAAGAATTCTCTCTCTGACACTGCTGAAAATAAACATTCTTAAGAATGTGGATGGTTCTCCTCTATGAGATTAAAGATGCACCAGGAACCTCAAAGGCTAGAAATGCACTTCTGACCTCTTCAGTAATTCATTACAGATCATCCATGAGCTTATCTAAACTCTCGATCTTTGTTGGAATTGTTGTGGGAGGAAGTTGTACTACTTCCTCTTACTCCACTATCTTTGCTGATGTCTCATCAAATTGTATTTCGAAATGACTACAACGCTACCTATCACTTTTAGAACCACTGAAAGGAAAATCTGAGTAAAGATGCTTCTGACATACTATAATGTATTCTTACAAATTAGAACGAGCTGTTTACCAATTCAGTTCACTCCATCTATAAAATGGGCACATTCCCATGTGTCCTGTGGAGTGGTTGTGTATCCGAAAAATAAGAGTAGTGATGATTAGAGCCAGGAGGGGCAAGAATGGCTTCCTTCTGGAAAGAGGTAGTATCTGAGCCAGGTCTTGAAAAAAGAGGAGGAGATGCTCATAGGAAGGGGGAGAGGGCAGGCAGGATGAGACTGGGAAACAGTCAGGAAGAGTCCAATCAGGCCGGAACAGAGAGGTTGTGAAAA